ATCTGTATGACAGGTGAGCGACTTTGGACTGACCAAGTTCAAGGACGATATTGACAAGGGTGGAGGCGCGGACCACCACGTCGGCAGCGTCCACTGGACCGCGCCCGAGATCCTGAACGAGACACCCGACGTTGATTACGTCCTGGCCGACGTGTATAGCTTCGGCATCATCCTCTGGGAACTGTTGACCAGAGAACAGCCCTTCTTCGGCCTCAGGTACCGCATCTCTCGTGTGTGTGCGTGTGCGGTCGTGCGTACGGTTCTAAATCGCGGTTTGGCCAGCCCCGCGGCGGTAGCAGTCGCGGTGATCAGGGACGGGCTCAGGCCACGGATGCCCGCTCCCGAGGAGCAGATGGTGGGCGCGCACCCGGTCGAGTTCGAGGAGCTGATCACGTGCTGCTGGCACACGGACCCTGTCATCCGTCCTACCTTCCTCGAGATCATGACGCGCCTGTCGGCAATGCACGGCGATGCCGCCGGTTCGTACACCTCGACCACCAACTCGTCGAGCGGAGGCCGATCCGCCCCGGCGGCCAAGCCCAGCTACGGCTCGTCGTGGACTCTGCCGTCGGCCAGCGGCTCGGCGTCGAACTCATCGACGTCCAACTCCCCCCGGCACTCGGCGGTCGCTGCTGGCACCGGTGCCGTGCGGGCACCCGAGGGCGAGGTGGCGATTGTGTTCACGGACATCACCCGCGCCGCGTCGCTGTGGGAATTCAACGCGGCAGCCATGCGCGACGCCACGCTGGCGCACAATCACGCCCTGCGGAGCGCCCTGGCCAAACACCGCGGCTACGAGGTGGTGTTCATCCGCGAACGCAACTCGGGCGAGGGCTCGTTCTGCATGGCCTTCCAGCATCCCGCCGACGCGCTCGCGTGGTGCGCCGACGTCCAGCGCGTCCTGCTGGACATCGAGTGGCCGGAGGCCCTGCTCGACCACCCCGGCGCGGCCGAGGAGTGGGGCGACACCGACGACCGGGTGCTGTTCAGGGGCCTGCGGGTGCGGATGGGCGTGCATGTGGGCACGCCCAAGGTGGTGCAGGACCCAATGACGAGGCGCGTGGAGTACATTGGGCCGGCGGTCAACGCGGCGGCGCGGATCACGGCCCTCACCCACGGTGGCCAGATCGTGGCCAGCCAGGCCGCGATGGACAAGGTCAGAGCCAGTGACCCGAGCTGGGAGCGGCTCAACCGTGTCTCCAGCCTGGGCAGGTTCGAAATGCCCGACGTGCCCCAGGGTACCGCTCGCTCGCCCTTATCCGGAGTCCCTCATTCACGATTCTCATCAACGTCTCGGACCAGGCTCGAAGCTGTTTGAGATTCAGGTGGCGGGGCTCGAGGGCCGATTCTTTGGAGGCGTGACGCACGAAGGCAACGTGCCATCGGCCAACAGCAACAGTGGCGGTGGCGGGAGCAGCACCTACAGCGAGGGTCGGGCGGGCAGGAGCCACGCGACTGTCTCGGCCGGCAGTCGCGACGGGCGCGACTATGTGGAGACGGTGGTGGGCGAGGGCATGGCGTTCAAGGAGGACAACTTCCTGACGTCGGCCAACCTGTGTCGATGGATCATCGACTTTGGCGAGATCCAGGTGGGGAAGCAGATCGGGCTCGGCTCGTACGGCGTGGTCTACCGCGGCAAGTGGAAGGGCGTCGACGTGGCGGTCAAGAAGTTCATCAAGCAGCAGCTCGACGAGCGCCGCATGCTCGAATTCAGGGCTGAGATGGCATTCCTCTCCGAACTGCACCATCCCAACATCGTCCTCTTCATCGGTACCAACCTGCTGGTGCGCCCAACAAAGGAAATAACGAACTCACTTCTTCGTTATTCGTTCTTCTTCGTTCTTCTCGCAACAGGAGCGTGTGTGAAGCGGCCCAACTTGTGCATCGTGACCGAGTTCGTCAAGCAGGGTAACCTGAAGGACATTCTGGCCAACAACGCCATTAAGCTCACCTGGCAGCGGAAGCTCAAGCTCCTCCGCGGCGCCGCGCTCGGCATCACCTACCTGCACTCCCTGCACCCCGTCATCGTGCACCGCGACCTCAAGCCCTCCAACCTCCTCGTACGCCACCTCAGCAATACTCCAACATTTCGTCCACTCACCACCATCATCGTCACGGAATGCAGGTGGACGAGACCTGGAATGTGAAGGTTGCCGACTTTGGGTTCGCGCGGATCAAGGAGGAGAACGCCACCATGACCCGCTGCGGCACGCCCTGCTGGACGGCCCCGGAGGTGATCCGCGGCGACAAGTACGGCGAGAGCGCGGACGTGTTCAGCTTCGGCGTGGTGATGTGGGAGGTGCTTACCCGGCGCCAGCCCTACGCCGGGCGCAACTTTATGGGCGTCTCGCTCGACGTCCTGGAGGGCCGGCGCCCGCAGATCCCCGGCGACTGCCCGGGCGACTTCCGGCGCGTCATGAAGCGCTGTTGGCACGCCAACCCCGACCGACGGCCGCGCATGGAGGACGTTCTGGCCTTTTTCGACAAGCACCACGTCGACGATGGTGGCGGCGCTGGCGACTCCATGGCCTAACGACCACGCACACAACATCAGAAGTACAAAAGGAACCTTAAAACATTACATTGCAACGAGCTGTTGCTTCGACATTCTGGCAAATGGGGCTGGTGGTCGACGAAATTTCGTACACCAAGCTTTGCCTGTTGGAGTGCGAGTTTGTGTTACACTCCACAGCGCAACTTCCTCACACACACGCATACATGCAGGCTGAGCAGCGGCTAACGCATCGACCTACACAACCAGGCTCGGCAGCCCTGGCCGAAGAAGGCCGCACAAAGAGGAATACCACGCCCGTCCCCGCCACCGGCGACATCGCGATCGCCATCGAAGAGGAGAACCCGCTACAAGTTGACAAAGTGGGGGACTACCTGGACGTCTTCATATCAGCGGTTGTAGGCAGCCTGCTCATAGCAGGTGTCCTCTTTCTCTGATTCCCCTGTTTTCCCCCTCCTTTTCATAAAGAGGAAACGCGAGCGTGCAAGCGTGGTCTCTTCTCTGCTAGAATGGGACGACATGCTTCAGCTGCTCGTCTGATAGTTGAGAAAAAAAGAAACGAAGTGAGCCTCAAGAAGCACAGAAAAAAGGGATTTGGAGGGAGGACGTACAAGCAGCCATGGTGATGGTGGTGGCGGGAGCAATCCACAGTATCCTCGCGCCCATACCCTGCACCAGTCGCGAAATCGGGGGATCCGTCAGCGCTCCACTCACCGCCCAACGTTGGCCGTGAGTTGGCCAGGTACCTTGGTGAACGCCCTCGGACCCTCCTCCGTCCAGATCCGTCGCGCCGCGTCCACTGCGCCCTTGTAGTCCGAACCCACCTGGATCCTGGTCTTGATGATGTCCAGGGGCGAGGTCACCGCCGCCGCTATCGCTCCGGCCGACGCCGCGCCCACTGTGTCCACACACACACACACACACACACACGGGTTCAGCTACGCAAGCCACCCGCACACTGGCTGTGGGGCCTGCGAACGGCGTCGGTACGTACCCAGCTGGTAGGGAAGCGGGAGGTCGTCCACCGAGGCATAGCCTCGGGTCTTCTGGAAGACCCGCTTCGCCTGCTCGTAGGTCATGAAGTAGATCCCCACGAACGGGCAGTACACCGCCAACGCCGGTAGAAAGCCCTGAAACACCACACACACACACACAACACACAACACACAACACACAACACACACACACACGAGTTGGCACGGTTTGCGCGGTGCGGAGAGTGAAGAGAGGTATAAGGGTACGCACCGTCCACAGGGCCAAAAATCCCTCCTCCTTGATGATGGTCTTGATGCAGTGGAGGCTGCCCTTGTACTTGACCGTATCGGCCGCCGCCGAGGCGAGGCTGGTCTTCTGCACCTGCAGCCGCTGCTTCACCACGTCCTGCAGTTGGTGCGAACAAACGAGGAAAGATCGCGGGAGGAGTGAGACGCAGCGGAGCTGGGGGCGGGCGTGAGGGCAGGCGAGCAAACGGCGCACCTGCGGCACCCAGATGAAGGAGCCCATGAGGTCGGCGAACATGCCCGACACGAAGTGCACCAGCGCGCCCTTCTCCTCCAGCGGGACCGACGGTCTGCGCGTTTCAGCAAGCACGGTGCGTGGTGGGCACACGACCAGCGACCGAATATCAACAACAGAGAAGGAGGAGGAGGAGGAGGTACTGTAGTGTGCGCTTGGCGGTCTCGTATCCCCAGAAGTAGAGCGCATGCGCCGGCACTGTGAAGCTGTCAACCACAAAACGCGCGTTCAGTGGCGCACTCAGAGCCAAAGGGAGCGGGCTTGGAACAAGAGTGGCACCTGGCGACGATGGTGAAGCCCTTGTAGAGCGCTTTGGCGCCTTCCTGGCGCACGATCTTGGTGAACGCGTCCGCCGTGTTCTTGTAGAACAGTCCGGAGCCCACGCCACGCTGCACCGTCGCCACCACCACGCGTCAACACCACTTCCCCTGTCGGCCAACAAGAGGGGGGGCATAAGAGCCAAACGTATGTACCTGCACTTGCAGGCGAGTGCGACAAGTGTCGATGGGGTGGACGATGGCGTCGGAGATGAGCCCTGTTTCCGATTGATTGAGAAAAAAGATTGAGATCTCGACATGTTGGAGTGCTTGAATGGTGGTGGGAGTGCACCAGCGCCAGCTCCGCACAAGAGGTGTGCGAGAAACGTTTCCGACGGCGCCTTCAACGTGGTCTCGCCCGTCGTGTTCTCCATCTTCCTCGAATTATTCAATAATTCTGAATTTCCTATTCNGTTTCCTCTCTTCCTTGTACTGGCCACAGACAAAACCACTGGATCTCATGCAATGCTAGCCTCTGTAGACAACCCCAACTGCATCTGCTTTCCTGGCACATGTGCCACTGGTGGTGAGAGGCAGAGCAGACAATGGCTGCTCAAGCACGCCACTGGTTTTGACCTGAACTGTGATGGAATGTGAGCTCGCCACGTGCGCACATAATATACCAATCTCCGGAGCTAATTAATTTAGGCTGCTATTTTGGCCTCAATCTAATCATCGAAAAGAAGAAAGCTCCATTCACTTCCAATTCAATTGAACTTTGGCCATCTTGCGCTCTATCCACACCTTCATGATCTGCATCCTCCTGTAATTCTCTCTCTCTTTTTGGCCTCCACTTCTTCCATCGGCAGGAGAGCTCACATTTGTGTGAATGCAAACATCACCCCCGACCCCCTCTTCTGTTGCAGCCCTCTCCGCCTCCAGCTCCAGCTCCACCTCTACGACTTCGCCTTCTTCGAGCATGACGACCATCATCCACTCCTCACCGCCGGTAGAGATCAATCGCGTGCGATCATCCTCGCACCCTACCGTGTCCCTCGGCTCCTCCACCTCCTCCCCCGCCGCCACCCCGCGCAATGCCCGTCGCAACGCTTCATCTTCCTCCTCCTCCTCTTCCTCCACATCGGCTGCGATGCCATCTTCATCTTCATCTTCCATTTCCTATCGCGGGAGCCTCAATCTCACCGCCCTCTGGGGACCCATGCGCTCATCCTCGACCCCGATCCTGCCCTGCCTGGGATCCAAGGACTCAGTAATGGACGACGGCGGGGGCGCTGGTCCGTGTTCCAAGGGCGGCTGCGGCTGCAAGAAGTACCGCCCCAACCCGTGGCGCAGGACCGTCTGCTGCAACTGCCAACACTCTTTCGACAGTCACGAATTGCTTCTCATTTCTGAGGATGAAGATGACGACATCGACACCAACGAGGGGGAGGGGGCCGAGAGGCGGAGGGCCACGATGCGGCGGCTGCTGATGGAGGGGCTGGGCAGCGGCGGAGGGCAGGCCGAGCTCCGCGCCCCACGACAGCAACGTCTCGCCGCGCCGCGTAGGGCAATTCGCCCCTCCTCCGCGCGTGGGCCACACCATGGTGCGCGCCAGCTCCGACTCCTACGCCGAGGCGCTCCGCTCCTCCGCCAGCACATCCCTCCTCTCTTCCTCCTCTTCTTCCTCTTCCTCTTCTTCCTCGATTTCTTCCTCTACTTCGCTGTCGACTTCATCGTCGTTGGCTTCCGCTCCTTCGAATTCAAACTCCACCACGGCCTCGACCACGACCACGAGCGAGAGCGAGTCGGTGCCGACGACGACGACGACGATGGCGATGATGATGCGCGACTCGGCGCGGGGTCTGACCACGAGCAGCCTCTCGGCGCAGATGATGCGCAACCTGAGTCCCGAGGTGCAGCGGCTGCTGCTGAGCTCGGCCGAGGGTCGGCTGCTGGAGGACGACGAGCTCGAGGTCATCGCCGAAGAGGGCGACGACGACGAGACCGAAGCCGAGGTCGACGAGCAGGTCGAGGAACCCGACTTCCTCTCCTCCTCGCCCCAGCCCAAGGCCAACCCCCGCTTCAGCCCCAGGCACCTCTTCGCTCTTGCGTCGTGTCGTGTCGTGTCGTGTCGTGTCGTGTCGTGTCGTGTCGTGTCGTGTCGCACACAAGGTGGATTCTGATCGTGTGTGCGGCGCACGTCCAGGGAGTTGACGCCCGAGTTTTTGCGGCCATTCAGCGCCCCTAAGCGGTCGCTGTTACGGCACGGGGCGCGGGCCACGCCCGAGGCGGAGGCGGAGGCGGAGGAGAGGCGCCAGCGGCGTCATCACGAGAAGGAGATGCGCACGTCGTGGGAGCTCATGATCGACACCCTGGTCAAGCCGCCCACAGGCGCCGCCGAGACCGACGACGACGACACCAAGTGGCTCCGCCAGCGGCAGCGCGCCGACACCAACACCGAGAGCGAGACGATCACCGGCGACCAGGGCAGCGACGACAATGACGACATTGGCACAAGCGACGACGGCTGGGAGGTGGGGGACATCGACACCACTGGTAATGGTGGTGGTGGCCTGCTCCGGTCTTCCGTCGAGCGAGCGCGCAGAGTCGGAGGGCAACGCCTGCATCGCTCGAATCAGGATGACAAGAGCAGCAAGCGCGGCGATTTAGACAACTCGG